CCATTTTGTGTATGGACATGAGCAACAGGGTGTTCCACACCAATCCCAATTGACATACAATAGTCGTTAAATGATTGAGATGTAAATTCTCCTGCATTGTCAAGTCGGATTCTCTTTATAGAATGATCCGGAAAATGAGCTCTTAATCGTATGATTTGAGCAAGGAGTTTAGCAAATGCTAGATTTCTAGTCGATAACAGACTGACATGTGACCAACGTGTTGAAGCATCAATCAACACCATAAAATATCGAAATGGTCCACATGGTGGGGCTATCGGCCCACAAATATCTCCTTGAATCCTTTTTAAAAATGCAGGTGATTCAGTTGTAATTTTGTTCATAGAGGGTCTGATGATCATTTTGCCAAGAGATTAGGCCTTACAAGGAAAATCCCTTGATATTGGAACCCTTATATTCTTTAATGGGTGTCCAAGTGAAGTCTTAATGATTTTATGTATCATTACATGGCCTGGGTGACTTAAACGGTCATGCCACAACATGAATATTTTCTGATCATCTAACTTTGTGTTAGAAACCAAATTTATTTCAAATGGACTAATATATGTGAAATATAGTCCTGAGGAATATGCTGGCATTTTTTCACAAATATATTTAGTGCCAGATTTAGTTGTTGTAAGACAAATTTTGACGCATATCTTTAAAGCTCAATAAGTTTCTCCGCGATTTGCTGGAGTATAAAGCGTCATTTATAATAATTTTTGACCCGTTAGGGAGCATCACATATGCTTTCCCAGAGCCTTCAATGAGCTTCGCAACACTTGATATGGTATTGACTTTAGCCTCAACTAATTAAAGTCATTTGAGAGAAATATATTTTATTTCTCAAAATGGTGTGCGTTGTGGCGCTGTCTATCAGACATAGTTCTTTATCATTTGAGTGATCCATATCTTCAATATATAAACATAAGTTCGATCACAAATTATGCATATTATTTAACATAAGAGTATATACATTACACATATTTATTTAAAAACAAAATAAAAAGGGAAAGAAAGAAAAAGTACATAAAACTAGTATTGTACAACATCAGGAGTCTACTATTTTATTTAGTAATATTTTGGTTTATGTCAAAAGCATCGTCCATAATGGCATCATCCGCGAAAAAGCCGGACACATCAAATTTTGGCAGAGGTGGAATTGTGTCATTGACATAATTAGCTTCCATATTTTTGCATTTGTTCAAATTAATGGAAGCTTGAAATAATTCCACCAGATGTTTCGCAGTACGGCATTTGTTAGCCCAATGCCCCGTCATGCCACATTTATAACAAGTCATCTTTACTGAGGTTTTTGGAGGGCGATTTATTTGATGGGCCTTTTGTTTGCTCTTGCCCTTATAATTTGGTCTATTGACCTATTTATATTCTCGGTGGGACTTGTTATTATGACCACTATAATGCCCACGTTTAAAATGCTTTCGAGTGCCACTGTGTATTGCGTTTGATTCAGTGGCAACATTATGACCAGATGGACCATAAATCGAAGGATTAGAACCGGTGGGTCTCAAATTGTGATTTTTCATCAAAAGGTCACTATTTTGCTCAACGACTAGTAAAACTGATATTAAGTCGGAGTATTTTTTAAAACCCTTTTCTCTATATTGCTGCTGTAGCAGCATATTAGAAATATGCATGGTAGAAAAGGTTTTTTCTCCAACATATCAACATCAGTGACTTTTTGTCCACATAACTTTAATTTGGATGTTATTTGAAACATAGCAGAATTATAGTCACTGATTGATTTAAAATTCTGAAATCTTAAATTGATCCAGTCTTATTGAGCTGTAGGCAAAAGTACCTTTTGTTGATGGCCATACCTCTCCTATAAATTATCCCATAATTCTTTTGGATCATCAACCAAAAGATATTCAGATTTGAGACTTTCATGGAGATGGTGACGGAGAAAAGTTATAGCTTTCACTTTATCCTGGGAAGATGATTGATTAATAGCCTCAATAGTGTCTTCGAGACCATTAGCCTTCAAATGTGCTAAAGCATCAACTTTCCATTCCAGGTATTTTTGACCGGATAGATCAAGAACGTCAAATTCTCTTTTGCTTATGTTTGCCATGATACTGCAAAAAATTATTGGATTAAATTTATCAGGGATAAAGGTCAGATAGGGTCTCGAACTTGGAAAAAAATGTCAAATAAGGCCATATTTAGGATGCTCTGTCCAGCCGACGTCATTTGGGGCGGTTCCCGGTAGAATTTTTTGATGAATTTTTTTGAGAATCTTATTCATTAAGTCTAGTTTACTCATATAAAATTTGAACTAAAACTTCAATCGGGAAGGCATTCAAATGAATTCTTGAAGATAACTGCTCTTTTAACTGCGCAGTTATCTTCAAGAATTCATTTGTATGTCTTCCGGATTGAAGTTTTAGTTCAAATTTGATACGAGTAAACTAGACTTAATGAATAAGATTCTAAAAAAAAATCATCAAAAAATTCCACCGGGAACCGCCCCAAATGGCGTTGGCCGGACAGAGCATCCTAAATATGGCCTTATTTGACATTTTTTTTTCAAGTTTGAGGCCTTATCTGACCCTTATCCCAATTTATCAGTAACTTTGTTATTATTAAAATATTGAGTAACATAAATATATTGTTATTATTTAACGTTGAGTTATATATAGTAATATTAGACTTATTACTATCTTACTTTTATACTATGTATATTACCTTATATATTTGTTTAATTAGGGTTAGCTATAAGTAAAAGATAATGCAAATGGAGAAACGATTTACGTTATCATTTCTATTTCTTTTATAATTAACAAATTAACGATTAGATAATGTGTTTTTAATTATTAATAAATCTGTGACTATCTATGCTGCAAAAATAAAACAGAAGTATATGTAATTGTGCATGGAATCTGCCCGAAACCTGAACATCTGATTTTGTTTGATTATCTATTGACTGCATCATGGCACTAATAAACAAAACTCGTGAGAAGAGCTAATGCGTATACAGCTGGATAGATGATGATCAGATATATTTGTATAAACTCGTGAACCACTAAGTTATCTTTGATTTATATACGGAGTATATATTTGTGGTTAGTATATTAGGCCATATCGCTACCTCCTATCTGTAATTCTCATTTTATTTTCTTTAGTATCTTATCATCTTTCTCACTACTCCATTATTACGAAGCACAATCTCCAACTTTGCAACATATCAAGTATGAAGTCTAAGCCGAGCTATGTATCAAGATAGAAGGAAGAGAAAAAAAATGTCTTGAAGAAGCTTAGAAGGTAAGTGTACTTTAATTCTATTAGTACAATCATATGTATGATTTTTATTTTATTTTTAAAAAAAATTGAACGTACTTTTAAAGTTTAAATACTAAATTGTTTATTATGCATGCATGATTGCTCAAGATTAAAGAAGATAATATAATATTAATGTTAATACCTGCAGGAGATGATGATTTCTTGAAGGTTTTGAGCAAATTCGTGCTGATAACGTATTGTGAAATGAAGAAGATGAAGAGCAACTTTAAGAGATAGATATATAGATAAAAACCTCTAAATTACTTCTTCTTAATATCTAAATATTTTCTGTATTTCTGAGTGTCTTTACAAGGCATCACCAAACCTCTATTTATACTGGTGGAGCTTGGTGATGAATCATCAAAGAATCATTCTACATAATATGCTGACAACATTAAACCTAACCATCTGTCTATTACAAGGATGGAAATTGAATTAGTAATCTGATGACAAGGATGAACAATTCACACTTGTCATTCTCAGGAATTTACAACAAAAATAAACATTTCAAAATGGTATAGAACAACAAATTAAAAGAGAGACACCGGGGGAGTACGAGTATATGTTTGGTACATTTTGTCGTCATTATGTAGCATGTAGTCATTTAAAGTATATAGTTGGTACATAACTACATACTACCTCCGTCCCTTAAAACTTTGCTAAAGTTGACCGGCACGGAGAATAATAAAGTAAAAACCGTGTGGTTGAGATTTGTGCAGAGAAGAAAGAAATAACAGAAACCACAAAATAATTGATTAAAAGGGAAATTGACAAAGTTTTTTGGGACGTCCCAAAAAGGAAAGATGACAAAGTTTTAAGAGACGGATGGAGTACAATTTTACTCTTATATGGCCATGTGTAGTACTGTAGTCATGGACTATAGTACTTGTAGTACTGTAGTCATGGACTACAGTACTACACCGGACTACAACAAACTAGATCGGACTTAAATATAGACTTCACTAACATATTTAAACATACCAATATAATTTAGACTATTAAGTTAATATCAAATCAAGTTTTGATAGTAAAAAATACACAAACTATACTCCATTCGTCCATATATTATCCACAAACTTTTCTTTTTTGTCCGTCCCAAAATTATCTTATCTTTTCCTTTTTGACAAAAAAACTGTGGTTCACAACCATTCTTAGATATTCTTAGACATTTCTCTCTCCTCTGCACAATTATCACACAATTCTCACTATCTTAATTTGTGTGCCGAGTCAAAGGTCGGAGTTTTTATAGAGAGGAAGAGAGTATTATTAAAAGAGACTAGTTCCGACAAAGTCCGAATCGAGCAAACTTAAACTCACATATCAAATTAAGCCATTAAATTTCACCATGAATGAATAGTTCCTAATACGAAGTATTTACCAACGATTCAATAAGACTACTTAACTACCAAACTTGTATTTATATATAAAATTTGAAATATAAGAGTGTAGGGAAGAATTGCTAAATTGACACATGGCCATATCAATTAACTTGAGCAGCAATATAGGAAGCACGGTTCAATGAGGTTTTCTTTACTATAAATCATCAACCTTTATTAATTTAAACAATTGTTCGTCACTTGACAAATTTAAAACTAATCTAACATCCGCCTGTTTTAGGAAATTTATAATAACCATGACAAAAAATAGCTTCATATTAAAGAACACGTATAAATAAGAATAATGACAATAATAGTAATGATGATAACAATAATAATAAGCTGCAAATAACTTCGGGTGATGACAGTTTGAAAAACGGATATATGGTTCATGTGGAGCGATTAAATAAAGATCATACAAAATGGAAAATGGATTTATATGCAAGAAAAAAGACCCAAACCTATTCAAACTTGTCAAAACGTTTTCCTGTGCTAGTCCTTAGACACATTGGAATCGGGTATCATATTAAACTCAATCTATAGAGTTTGTAAAGGTATACCAATCGGCTTTATTGAGATTACATATATACATGCATACTTAGAGCTCTGAGGCAGCTCCCTTATCCAAAAACCAGACAAGTTCCCCTCTAGGCAAGACCATTTGTACCGGCAATGAAATGGGATTTTGACTGCCACCCCTCAATGCTGAATTCACAGCTTCTGCCTTGGAAGCGCCGGGTACAACCAGAGCAATGTTTGCAGAAGAGTTTATAACAGGTAATGTGAAAGTGATCCTTTCTGGAGGAGGTTTGGGAGAGTCCTTAATGAACGTAACCCACTTCTCTTTCTCCCGGAGAATAGGATGCCCAGGAAATAGAGAAGCAACATGCCCATCGGGACCCATTCCTAACAGCACTAGATCAAATTGTGGAAATCCACTAGACTCGGACATGCATACTATCTTGGTTTTGACCAAATGCTTGAGACAAGTCTCATAATCATCTGCTGCACCTTCAGCCTACAAGGCCTCATTTATGGCATACACATTACCAGCAGGAATGGGTATCTACAAAAGAAAAAGAACAAAATGGGGTGATTGGATGGTAAATAAATGAGCCAAACTGACCAAACAAGCTCCAAACCATGAGTTCTAGACAAACAAAAACACACCAGACCAAGCTCTCATACCATATTAAATTAGGCCTAACTCACCCCAAAAAATCTTCAAAAGGTTTATGTCATACTCGCATATTAATACTTTAACATGGTTTGCCTTTTCTTTTTGGGTAGTGTGGTTGCCTTTATGTTTTACCACTTTTACGTACAAATATGATGAGTACTTAAAAATACTGGGCGAATAATAAAAATGGAAATGTAGAAAATGGTTCATATGCATCATTAGTTTTATTCCTTATTTTATTAGAACAGTTGAACATCTCACTTTCTCTTATAGGTTGAAAGCAGAAGTGCACTTCTCCATTAATTTGGAAAATTTGCCTTCTATACACTTCCAGACCTTAACCGTAAACTCTATTCACATCAACTGATTTCATTTACTTCATTCTTCAGTTTCTTCTCAAACCTCGCACCTTTTAAGCTTTAGATTTGCCCTATGTGATCTCTACCAACATGATCTTTACTGAATAAAAACCAATAAAAGTAGCATTCCACGTGTTGCTTGAATTTGCACCTTAAAAATAGAGACCCACTGATTCTTGTTATTAATGCATTTCACCATTACATTGCCACTAGCAATTCATCCTCTCCTTAACATCTTAAATCTCTTCACTTATATACACTACCAAATGAAAACAGAATCCCAATGTAGTAATGGCTGTTGCATTAAAATCATTTGGGTACTTCATAGTAACTGGCCCTATGCCCCTATCCAAAGATGGAATGCTGTGAAATCAGAAAGTGCCTCAGGTTTTCACAAAACAAGGGCAAACAAATCAAAAGACGCGATCATTTTCCTACAAATGGAATGCTTTAATTCATAAATAAAGCCAGTCAGTATATTCACCAACCGCATACCTTGGATATAAAAGAATCATAAGCAAGCAAGTAATTGCTATCCGGATGGTCCTTTGGAACCACGCGCTCATCCACCCAGAAAATGTGCCACTTTGACCAGTTCACAGAGTCAACGTACGGAGGTTCTAGCAATTTCCTGTCGTTGTAAACTCAGACTTTAAGCCATTGATTTAATTTTGAAATAAAAATAATACGGAGTAGTACTAATAAAGATGAGGATAATGAAATGTAGAACTCGTCGAAGCATTAGGGAATTACCCGAGGCACTTGATGAGAGACCCGCCGGAGAAAGCTACAGAAAAGGAGCCTCTCTCTTTGCAAAATATCTCCGACAACTCGGCAGTGTATTTCGCCAAAGAGGCCTTTAATTCGTCTTCTGAATCGAACACTTTTACTTTGGTCTTCCCCTCTCCAGTAGCAAAATCAGCCATTGATGCTTTCGTTAAAACTCTAATGTCCTTCTCCGCTAAGGATAAGCTTTTAGGACAAATGGAGCAAGACAGGGGTGAGGCGAGGGAAGAGTTAAAAGCCAACGGAACGAAATGTGTTGACCGTCGGAGAGGAAGGAATCGGGAGGGTAATATGCGCACGTTAGCCGATATCAGTTTCGTGGAGGCGACGGGCATCGTGCAGTCCGGCCGGGAGGCTGAAGGGTCCAATAGCTGGGGTCAACAACGCAATACATTTTAGAAAAAACGGCCGAATACATTTTAGAAAATCCTTTTACTATCTTCTTCCTAGAAAACCACCCAAATGAACGATTGAATCAGATATTCATAATCCAATCATATATGGAGTACTCTATATAATTTGTTTTGTACTTGATATTATATCATTCAATTTAATATGACATTAAATCAAATTAAATTGTGAATAATATAGAAAAATCAAACCGAGTTATAAAACAATATATTTTTAAAAACTAATAAAGTCAAATCAATTCAAATTAAAACAAAAAAAAATTGTTGATAAAAGAATGAAGTTGGACGGTGGACACTATAGTTACACGAAAATCATACTCCGTAATTAACACTAATGTTTAAAATGAGTAAAATTGGACACTAATGTGAATACCATATTGAGAAGTTGTTCTCTTCGTCTGATCTGAATATTTCTGATCTGAATTTTTTGAGATCTGATTTGATCGGATCTGAATTTTTCTAATCTGATCTGATCTAAATCTTTCTGATCTGATCTGAATTTTTCTGATCTGATCTGAATGCTTCTGATATGATCTGATATGATCTGAATCCTTCTAATCTTGATCTTAACTTTCTAAACGGGTATATAATAATTCTAATATTAATAATAATAATTCTAATAATAATATCAATAATTATAATAATAATAATAATAAATAATAGCAATAATAATTATAATAAATTAATAATAATAATAAAAACTATTATTATTATAATTATATAATAATAATAATAATAGTAATAATAATAAGCATAATAATAGTAATACTAATAAATAATAATAATAATAATAATAGTAGTAGCAGTAGTATTAGTAGTAATAATAATAATAATAATATAATCGATAATAATAGAATGTTTCCAATTTGCTATTAATGTTTCTGATCTGATCTGCTGATCTGAATCTTTCTGATCTGCTCTGATGTGAATCTTTCTGATCTGATCTGATCTGATCTGAATTTTTCTAATCTGATCTGAATAAAATAAGATTAAGCAACAGCACCTGAATGGCTGAATCTAATGTTTTTGTCAATACGAGATTACGATTTAGATCCAATAGGCGATAAGTCACCATTAGGTCTAGTCGATTGCTTAAAGGGTGCAGTTCATGAGCGTTTAACCCGCTTGCATTCATAGATGTAAATATTACCTTCGTTGTAAGATGCACTTTCTTTTTGAATTATCCCAAAAATATACATGAACTCCTTAAATTAAAGTATACTAACTCTTTACTTTCACATTTATCCATTACACGGAGTATATCATTTCACCATTTATTTTTGTGGAGTCATCATACTTTTCTTTCTTTTTGGAGGGTAGATTTGTAAAACTATCAATGTATTGTTATCTTTTTAAAATTGTGTCAAACTAACGTATCCTTACGAAGGTTGTAATATTTATTTACACATATACGTAGCCATACATCATACTCCCTTCGGTCTCAAATGAAATTCAAATTTTCCTTATTGGGTAGGTCTAAAATAAACTTCACACTTCTTCTCCTTTCCTTATTTGGTAAATTATCTACATCAAAAAATTGTAAAACAGTGTCAAACAGTATCATAATAATGTACTCTACAGTAAAGTCAAATTTGTTTCCTTAATTTATGTGAAGTCAAAGTGTGAATTTCATTTGAGACCGAAGGGAGTACGTGATTTAGTTTAAAGGGTTCCAAGATCAACTCTAATGATTGTTTTGAAGGGCTTGCTTATAATCTTAAAGCAAATACGGAGTAACTAACAATTGAAGCATTGATTTTCTTTTTGTTTGAAAAATATAATTAGTCAAAAGTAACTACTAGTTCTAGAAAAGAGAATGATGATATGATAAGACTTGAAGTATGACCAATACATATACTTGCTTCGTTTCACGATAAGGTCATCATTTCAGTTTATGTTGAATGATCTTAAAGTTAATTTATGCATGTCATTAGATATTTTGATATTGATACTTAATTATTTGTTTGGCAATTTTATAATTTACTGGATACTTTGCTAACATAAACATATTTTTGTTTTACAAAAAAAAGAATGAGAACTCGGATTTTGAAGAGGTGGGTAAAATCTGCTTCCTATTTTGAGATTTGGTATATTCGAACCGAACCCACCCATTAAGTGGAACCGTCAATTCTTAAAAATTTACTACATTCATCCCGCAAAATAGTTCACGTTTTCCTTTTTTGACGTTCCAAAAAATAATTTCCATTTCCCTTTTTGTAAAGTTTTGAATGACCGTCATTCGTCTAACTTTTTCTTATTCAATAATAATCATACATTTTTACTGTATTTCCTTTTTTTTAAACACCCATCCAAATCTCAGTAGAAACTGTTTTATGGTTATGGAAGGGAGGGAATTTCAATTACCGGGACGATCCCTAGCATGTTCACCCCTAATTTCGTTCGTCAATCCACGGAAACGTCCAGAAAATAGAGCATAAATATATGTCTGTGTACATAGAAAATGGTTGGAGTTAAAGTGAAGTGACCCCTTTGCAGTCCCCTAGCTTCTAGACACGCCATTGCCGAGCATGCATCCAGGCGTTTTATTTTGAAAACGCGAAATAATAAACGAAGACGAAAGAGTTGCAGTAAGAAGCTTTTAGCTAGAGCTTTGCACAGCTATATATCTCCACTCATCGGAAGATTCAAACAAAAACTACAGTAATATGGAGAAAGAAATTCTGGATTACGTTTTAGTGCCACTAGGACTTCTACTAATGCTGGCTTACCACCTATGGCTTCTCGTCCAGATCAGGAACCACCCCAATCGCACCGTCATCGGCGTCAATGCAATCAACCGCCGCCTATGGGTCCGTGCTATGATGGAGGTAATTTAATTCATCGATTCTCCCATCATTAATCGTATTAACCGAATTGAAATTGAAATTCTTAGGTTTTCATCGCCTAAATCTAATTATGACAATACAGGATGTGTCGAAGAACGGGGTTTTGGCAGTTCAGACGTTGAGGAACAACATAATGGCGTCGACGCTTTTAGCATCGACGGCGATAATGCTGAGCTCACTCATCGCCGTCCTGATGGCGGGCGGCGGCACCGGTGACCGTTCGATCAGATTTTTGCTCGGAGATCGGAGCGATTTCGCCTCGTGCGTCAAGTTCTTCTCGATATTGGTGTGTTTCCTGGTGGCGTTCCTGTTCAACGTCCAGTCCATAAGGTACTACAGCCACGCCAGCTTCCTCGTCAACGTTCCTTTCCGGAAGATAACGGAAGGGCCGGACGGGCAATACCGTTTCGCGCTGACGACGGAGTATGTGGGGAGGACCGTGAACAGAGGGAGCTATTTTTGGTCGTTGGGGCTGAGAGCGTTTTACTTCTCCTTTCCCCTCTTTTTGTGGATCTTTGGACCTATTCCTATGTTCGTTTCTTGTGTTTTCATGGTTTTCATGCTCTATTTTCTGGACGTTACCGTGGATTTCGGGCTGGCGGTTTCCACCGCCACCGCCGATGAAGTGTCCTGCAGCGGGGATTTAGTCTAGTAGTATACGTCAACTAGATTAATTGGTTCAATACAAGATTCGATACTTGGATTTCTTTTGCAACCAAACCAAAGATTTCCCAAGAAATACTGGTACACCTTTATTACATTTAATTTAATTAATACTACTGCGATGTTTCCAACTTTCCATAGCTGAAATGGCTAAAACTAATAAAACCGGCAATTCGAATAACATACTTTTAACATAACATATTCACCTAATTCGATCAAATTTAAGGAGATCCAGCCGAATCACTTTCAGGCCGTATCAAACATGCTGATAAGGAGGGTAAAAATTCTTCTTATACATGCTTTTTTGTACATATCATCTCACATACGTCCATCAGCAATTATTTTTTGTCTGTGAGCAACTACTTTTTTGTCCAAAAACAAAAATATAACTGCTCATACATGTGTGTGTGATGATGTGTACAAAAAAGTGTATAAAAACATGTGTATAATATAATAATAGTAGTATATCAGTATATGGTGCCAAGGAGTAGTAATTTACACTAGTAATTGAAAAACATGAGAGTTGCCAAGATATTCGTATGAGAGAATTACCAAATAAGCTCTCGAACTTTCATAAAAGTGCAAATAAGTCCTTTTATAGGAGACTCTGTTCGCCCGTCGCCATTTGGGACGGTTTCCGGTGACATTTTTTGATGAATTTTTTTTAGCATCTTCTTCATTAAGTCTAGTTTACGCATACCAAATTTCACCTGAAAATTCAATCGGGAAAGCAGTAAAATGAATTTTTGAAGATAACTGCGCAGTTAGGTAGTGCAGTATACTTCAGAAAATCATTTTACTGCATTCTCGATTAAATGTTTAGCTGAAATTTGACATAGGTAAACTAGACTCAATGAAGAAGATTCTCAAAAAAATCATCAAAAAATTCCATCGGAAACCGCCCCAAATGGCGACAGCCGAACAAACCCTCCTGTAAAAGAGCTTATTTGCACTTTTTATAAAAGTTCAAGTGCTTATTTGATAGTTCTCCCTATGATAATAACAGTAGTGAGATACTTCTAAAAATGTTTTCGTTATGGAAACAATGGAATCACATCTAGTGGTGGACTCGGTTCGGGCCGGGCCCGGTTCGGGCCTTGAACCGGCCAGGCCTCGGTTCACGGATGGGAGGCCCGGAACCGGACCGGATAACCCCGGGTCCGGTTCGGTTCGAGTCACCCGCCCGGGCCACGGGCCGGGCCGGGCCTTTTAATTATATATATATATATATATATATATATATATATATTATATTATTAGAATAATTCTTATTACAATTACAATATATTATATTCTAATTCAAGTATATTTATTTCAAATAAGAAGTACAATTGAGAATTAGGATGAATTTTAAAAATGTAATACATTTTGTAATAAAAAATCAATCGGAATCTCCGCCTTCGGTTGTTTCCTCCATAAAGTGGCGGGTGGGAGCAATGGTAATTTCTTGAGTTCTTCGTTGGGCCTTCAACCAATCGTGAAAGCAAACTAGCGTCTCAAGAGAGCTCGGGCTCAACCTCGTTCTATAATCGGTTAGGACGTTGCCGGCCGCACTAAATTCTTGTTCCACAGTAACGGTTGATATCGGCATTGCTAGCACTTGCTTAGTCATCTTTGATAAAATCGGGAACGTTCTTTCATTTTCCTTCCACCACTTAAGAACGTCAAAGTCATCACCATCTTCATAATCAACATTCAATGTTAGATACAAAGAAAGCTCGTTACCTGAGCTTTGTTCAGTAGCGGAAGTTGCTCTACTTTTTTTCAAAAGAGAACCAAAAGCGGATTTTAAAAGTGATTTTCCTTTAGATGAAGAAGATGTTCGTTGCATGGGAGGGGGTGCATTACCATATTGTGCATGAAATTCATTATACAATTGATGAAATAAATTACTAACCTCGTTGAATTCTTGTTTAGGGTCGATGGGATTATCATCGAACTCTTGAGTTGGAAAAAAAGAAGCATAATAGTAATCTATACAATTTGCCAAGTAAGCAAGTTTATAACGAGGATCAAGAACAAATGCAATACCATATATATGCGGAATATGTGAATAATATTTTAAAAACTTTTGTTTCATGAAATCACAAAAATAACTAACATAAGTGGCTTCGGAAAATTCACAAAAAGCGCCGATGAGATTAACAGCTTCAACAAAAAATTCATTTGCGGTAGGTTTATAAAATGATTAAAAGTTTGAGTTGCGTTATTAAAATATGCCAAAACATTAACAATTTTTTCACAAGTGTCGATGTCAGCCGGGTTTATAATATAGTTACAAGTTTGTCTTAAAAAAGCAGGAAAATGATCTTTATATCTAATAAGTACTTGAAGTAAATTATAAGTACTATTCCAACGAATATACAAATCTTTAGAAAATGCACAATAATTGACACATCTATCATTCAAATATTGCCGACATTGCATTTTTAGTGGAGTGCTAGCCCAAATCAATTTAATTCCCCCCTTCACTACCTCCAAAGCATTTCCTAATGTCGCTAAGCCATCTTGTACACACAAATTTAGAATATGAAATGCACAACGTTGATGTAATTTATGATCTAATTTTTGTTCATTAATATCAACTATTAATCTCAACCATTAATCTTAATTTTTTTTTGAAAGATTAATCTTAATTTTATTTTGAGTGTAGACAGCCTCAAGCTCAAACCTCTAACACTTGCTCCGTAATTAACAATTACGGAGTAATATTAATTCATCATTAAAATCAAATTTAAGCCAGAACATTTTGAAGTTTTTAGTGATCTAACGGTTTGAAACTACTAATGAATTGTAATGATAAATTTGGATCATAAACTTCTTTTTCAGTAATAATGAAGTTGGCCAAGTTGTCTATAATGCATCGATCATCCTTGTGTAAGAGTGCAAGATATAGAGTGACAAATTGCCATATTTTAATGGAGATGCTTATGCTGGAGTAGGAAAGCCGTGCATTCTACCAAGATTGTGTAAATTACTAACAAATGGCGTAATACCAATTGCAGAAAAACCACATTGGGTTATGGACGAACCCCTCCCTACAAGTCAAGTTACAACATCTGAAGCTTTCACTTTAAGCCTCATGTTACCGGCTTGAATGACAACTTCACCTCGAGAAGAATCCACTTTTAGAACTAGAGCTTTCTTGCCAAGAGAAAGAACCTGCACCATGTCACCAACCTTGGGTAGCTCCGCTCTCTTCTCTGCTGTACTCCAAAATAAGATTACCAGAATGGTGAGCAAGCAATAGTCTACAAATGATGTAAAAATGTCTTGCGAATGACATCGTCTAGAATGGGGTACCAAATTGGCATGTTATGTCACCTAACGAGGTTAGTAGCTAATGATATGGGCAAGGTGAGAACTCAAAAGTGACATATCATGCCAATTTTAGCATGGCAGAGACATCTTGGATGATAATATGCAAAACATGTTGCATTAGAATGCTTGTATGCAATAGTCATTTAGCCAAAGATACAACAACTACTCCGTTAGTCCATCCATACCCAGAAAGGCATCCACAAAAAAACAAGTCCTAATTTAAAACTTTTTTTAATTCCAAAAAAAGAGGGACTTGAACAAAAAAGCTAATTTAATACTTCCTCCCTATTTTAAAGACCACTACATTGGCTTTGACACATTATTTAAGGAGGAAGTAATAGGGGTAATGAATAGTGTAGAAAAAGTAGGAAAGCGGATGTAAAAGTATGAAAGAGAAGATAAAAAATAGAAAAATTAAGGGTAATTGAGTATTTTTAAAGGAAAAACTTAACAAAAGGGGAAAGTGTAGCAAACTTTTAAATACAGAGGGAGTATATATTTATTGTACTCCCCTGCCCCTCAAAAAGGCATCCCAAACATGTGATATATGTTAAACTTTAGTTAAACCGACAAATACATTTAAGGTTCTATGTGGTAGCTTTAATTGTCTGCTCATATGTAGGATAATTACAATTTGACTTGCTTATTTAGCTCCTTGGCTATTTCGTTTTATAAATGCTTTCTTTCGAAACAATTCAGCAGATTCAGTTATTTAAGCCAAAAACTCTAGAAAAGGGGGCTCTGAAAGTGGAGCTAGAATTGATGATTTTCATTAATGTTGTGTCAATGTATTTATGAAGCAACACTCTTTTTTGGAAGGATGGTAGTACACTAAATAACACGATAAAAAGACTTGCCTAAAACCTGACGCTTTAAGCTTTTGGCTGCATTTTCACCCCCGATAGCTTCAAAACTCTCAGTTTCCGGTGTCTTAGAAGTCTCCTTTTCAAAAGCATCTGAATGTATCTCAGAGAGTTGCCTACGAGATGCACGGAACTGCCCGGTTTTACTGCGAAGTTCAGAGCGTGCTGCTGCTTCTAAGCGAGACATTTCTTCCATCTTCCTGTATCTTTGCTCAATCCCATGTTCAATGATTCTCCTTCTGGCAATAAGTACCTTCTCATATAGCTCTCTTGACAGCCTGAACATAACATACAAGTGAAATGAAATAGTTTATGGTATGCCAAATAGCCAATCAATCAAATAGCAACTTACTTCAAGTAATGTTCAGCCTCATGGACTTGCTCATGAGACTTCTGCTTAAATCTCTCCATGTCAAGTATAACCTGCATTCACATTTCAGAAATATAAGGGTATAAAAACAATAAGCATACAAATGCATGAACCAAGTTTAAAGTCCACAAAGTTAAACTAGACGATTCATGATTGTAGACTTCTTAATCTATGTAGTTTGGGATCCATGATATTAAGCTTAACTAAACAAGAACACTGCAAACCAAGTTTTTCCTCAATTGATCAATGAACTTGATATTATGCAAGCTAATTGGTCCATGCAACAGAAACAATAATACCACAAGCACATTCTGGACAGTTAGGAGTAGTTTTATAGACCATGATGACATGTAGGATAATGCCAAAACGAATTTTTGGTTTAAACATTACACATACATTTGATTACATTTCATTTATCACCTACCCAAAAGCACCTAAGTTCATGATCGCGGAAATCCTTTTCATCTTCAATGACGGAAAAAGTATATGGACAATCTTGCAAACAATATCATAGATATACAAATATTGCTAAAAGCTTTTCAAACTTGACCCTAAAGAGACACCCCAACATATACTCTTCCAAAGGTTATTGGATTAAATTACCTCGTTAATTTTGGAATTCGCTGTTCCATAAATTTCACGAGCATCATCCAGAATTGCCTTAGGCATTCCAAGTCTTTCAGCAATATTGATTGCATTTGAACGTCCTACAACCAGAGATGCTTCATAAGTTTGTGCTAAATGACAGTATTCAGATCGTATATTTATATATTACAGAAGCGTCCCATGGCAGCGCTAAAATGAAATATTCTAGAATCTAGAATGTCAATATGTGGGATATATATAACAATTAACAACAAAAAACCAATTCTATGAAACAGAAAACTATATGACTAAGTCAACAGACTTATCTGATGCTGGAAAGAAAGTACCACTACAAAAACAAATGAGAACCTGGAATTCCCCAAAGGATCTTATACGTTGGCTTCAGATTCACTTCATCAAATTCCATACATGCATTTTCAAAGCCCTCGTTACTGCCATTGTTTTTAATGAGAACATGAAAATACACCCTTAGGAGGAAAACTCTTCATGATTATGAACATTACATTTTAAAAACAAAGTACCTGTACTTAAGGGTCTTGAGTTCTCCATGATGTGTTGTAGCTAAGGTAAGCAAAGAACTAGCGTCTGCAAAAGATTGTAGCAATGACATCCCCAATGCAGCTCCCTCCAGAGGATTTGTCCCAGCACCTACCTATATGACAGGAAGTATGAATAAACTAGCTCAATAGCATGCATTTTGTAATAACAGCTAATGAGAAAGTTGCCATTTTACATCCTGTTTTTTATTTTATTTATTCGTGCACCCCAGAGCATCCTAGGTCATTTCTAATTTAGCATGCCATAATTTAGCATAGCTTTCGAATTACTCCTCTGTAAAGCCCTAGGGTGCAAATGTGCAATGATGCATGCTCAAAGCAATAAAGCAGGGGATGTAAAGTCATACTTCCTCCATTCTTTAATAACTGCAACATTGTAACTTTTGCACTATTCACACATCTTACTTTGACCATAATTTTCTACTAATATATATAATCAAATTATTGTGTATAATATATTATTAAATTTCTATTAATATGAATTTCCAAAACAGTAACTTTTTATAATATTTACTAATACATAATTAAATATAATTACAGTCAAAGTTGTGTTTTAGCAAACCTGAAAGTCAAACTGTTGCAATTAAAAAAGAACGGAGGTAGTATATTAGTATAAAACATAGGGTACAAAGATCAACTTTCTCAAAAATAATCCAGTGAATGTATATGAACTGGTAGCGCATACTTCGTCTAGTAGCACGAGGGACATACTTGTTGAACAAGACTGAATTTTCTGCAATTTAAAGAAGAAGAGTATGAATAAAACAGATTAAATGTTGATATTGCAGAAAGACATGCTGCAGATGCTAAAAGCTAGACATTTTAACTCAAGACCATTTATAAAACTTACAGTAATCTGTTTTAGGTGGCCTGAAAAGGTAGACAGAGACTGAGATAAGGACTGCTCATCACCAATATCAGCTAACACAAAGTCAAACCAAGGGATCTTCACTGGTTCAGAAGCTAAAACATAAAGGCCTGCAATACAATGGTATATTCAAGTATTTAAAGGTTTAATATGTACATATGAAAGACAGAAACATCTAGCACTTAGAGATTTATATTGTAATCTCATCTGACACTGTTCCAAAATAAAAGCATCGGTATATATGTAAGATTCCAAGAGTTACTCTTACTCTAACCCAGAACAACTAGATGGAGAACTAAAACTAATCATTGTTCATAATTGTGTATCTAAGTTCCAGAACCTACCCCTAGACCAGAACAGATGAACAAGGAACTAAAAATAATCATTATTTGTATACATGTTTCTGTGTTATAAAATATACCAAGTCAAATAGAATCATCTAGCTTGGATAGACTTAGGTACATGCAACTATGCACTATGCAAGTATACATAGGTGATAAAGATTCCCACCTTTGAAACACTTACAAACTTTTCCTAATTCCTATACCAGAATCTATCACCTACGATAAATTACAACACATTTTGTTTTTCATTATATTTGCAAGTACATGTTTACATCACTTTGATTGAGGACTTTGATTTGTTCTATCAACGTGTACTGTTGAAATAGTCAACATTATTACTTGTAACGTACTGCTAGTATTTTAATTCTTAATTACGATTGAGCAAGAAGAATACAGTTTATCATCCAGCTTTTTTGGATTTTCCCTTTTGTACTTTAATAAAAATAGGAAACGAAAACCAAAACTTTCCCACACCCGACTTTGCCATCATAGCAGCCAACCCAACTGTCTTCAAGCTAATGGTTTTTCCTCCAGTATTTGGGCCGGTAATGACCAGAACTTTAGTATTTCTGGCTATGAATATGTCAACAGGAACAGGAGGAGTATTTTTAATTTCAGCAACCTGAATAAACAGAGAAGCATCATACAGTGCTCATCTTTCTCAGAAACGTATGCAATCAATATACAACTAACACCTCATGCTAAACACCCACCTCCATCTCCAAGGAAAATATGTCCAAATTTGATTTTTCACGAGTAAATCCTTCTCTTTGATGTTTCCTCCTGATTTCCTAAGAATAGATAGGTCACTAGATTCTTGGAGATTCTTCTTGTGAAAAAAATAGCATTTCCAAGAAATGACATCTCAGTGTGATGTTGGATGAATATAACTGATAATCAACTTGAGCAAGAAAAAAATACTACGGTAATTATTACTACCTCTGTCCCATAATTTTCTTCCCACTATGAATTGGCACACTTATTAATGAGGTATAAACGTATGGTTGTGGCTGAAGTAGAAAAAAGGAAAAATGCCAACCACATAAACCATTCCTTAAAAGGAAATGGGAAAAACATTTTGGGACATCTCAAAAAAGGAAAGTTGGAAGAAAATTATGAAGGGGGTATTAGATTTAACAAACTGAAAATTATAAAGCCACAAATTTAGAAAGCAACAGCTAGGACAGTCATAGCTAATAAAAAATGAAAATAAAGTTGATGGACACAAACGAAAAGAACCCATGAGGTGTTAGCAACATTTGTGGAGCAATACCAGTGGGTATGTTTTAAAACAGAAACTTCAAACAGTGTATTTTCTTCAAAGTGATAACCCAAGAACTCCACAGCAGATTAATGTTGAAACTAATGAAAGTATTCAGCTTTCATAAATAAGAAAATGTTATCCTTTCCCAAAAATGCACCCCAATGTAACAACTTATGAAAGAAACCACTTACTGAAGTGGCTTTCTGGGCATGCTTCATCGCATTGTTAAGGCTTTCCCGATGCTTCTGCAGCAGTAAAGGATGATATGACTTTGGTAGATACAGAGCCCATTCTCCAAGAGACGGATGTGATGTTATGGAGGTTCTATCCTCCAACATTACATCAGCATAAACAGACTTGTCCTTGTCATGTGGAAAATACAATTCAGGATATGTGCCTCCATATGAAAGGCTATACTGTGCTCGAGCATTGATCTGTGTGCATGTAGTCACATTGAATATTTGAATGTCAGTGGAGTCCATAACTAACAGCTGCAACAATGTAAACAAGATAAAATGTGCAATATGAAAAATACAGCGACAGGTCATCAGAAGCATGGGAATATCTAAGAAACGAGGTCATTTAGGTCCAAGATATTCACACCAACATCTTGGTTTGGAAACAAAGATTGACCAAGTAAATCAATGCAAAATTTGGGTGCTTTATACAGGATACGTACAGTATCTAGTCTGACTATGATATTGAATGTATTTTCAATGCACTGAAGATCCTCTTGCATCTGCAGTCCATGACAAGTTAAACAGAAATGTTATGGTCAGAAAACCATTAAAAATAAGAAGAAAGAAAATGAACATGTGACAATGCAAGGTGGTGGGAACCTTCTTTGTTATCTTAAAGAGTATATCGTCCTCAGCCTTAGCCACAGACACCCTGGCTCTTTGCAACTCGTCATTTAATGCAACAGCTGGTAGAGGTTCTACAATGCTTCCCATACCTGAACCACTACATCAAACTGCCAATCTCAGCATTAAAGGCATTTTATTGCATACGTAATAGTATTATGTTCCTTCTTTATGAAACGGTAAATTATTTCTCTAAATGGTTGTGTCCAGCTTCACATACGGAGTACAAGAATAAATGGAAAGAAAGTAGTGTTACAAAAACTATTCACATGGGCAACAAATAAATAGCAAAACTAGTTCAAGTACCTAAACAACAGAAGACCTTCAAGGCCCACTCGCTGATCAGACCCAGAAGTTATGCACCATCTGCCATCAACAGTACGCATCTCCTGCCATCAACAGTACGCATTTCACTTACAATCTAAAAGCCCCGGTTTCCTTTTTGTCTAAATTTAGACGTCCTACATAGTATGAGAAATTAAGATTTAACACATTATGCAGGAAAAAAAAAACTTTACCAAAGATGCTGTTTCCTTTGATTCATTCCTAATCAAAGCCTCCAGCAACTGGTATAACTGAATGGAGAAGATGATTAAACATATATTAGGTAGTTTAGAAGAATAGGAAACTTGGAACAGATCTCCCTAAAATTGAAATGCAACGATGAAGAATCATCACATCAAAACAAATCCAGGTCATCCGGAACAATGGATGCCAGTAGCTTAGGAATGCAATAAGATAATGTGATCCATCAATCAAGTAAAAGCTTATGTGGAAGTGAACCGCGAAATTCAATAATAATTACCATAAAGCTAATGTATCAACAATTCAAAAGCATAGTATGGATAGTGAAGGAGAAGAAACATGGAATTATACCTTTCTTTCCAGCAAATGAACTCGATCACGTGATTGTTTCAAAATGGCGCTCTAAACAGGAATTTGTAGGCATTAGTTAACACAAGCCATGAAGTTGTAGAAATATCACCATAGTAGTTACCTAAAGAACCAGAAAATTACAAAGATGTATGGTGGCTATGTGGTAAAAAACTTGCTAGCACAACAAAATCTCATAAGACATGAAGACAGTACAATGTGTAATGTTAAGATATAAAAACAACACACCGCAGAATCCTTAACAGAGCCATCTTCATCAACCAGCTGTTGTATGAAGCTGACTAACGATCTGCTTGCCTCAAGTTCCATAATCTATAAGCATAAATATAACTTAACTGGATATCCATAAAAAGTGCAAGTGGTCAGTGTCCAATTAAAAGGTCACTATAAAAGTGTAAATAAATTCCAGACTACCATTTCAGTAAGAGGCATGAAGCATTGGTACCACTTTGAATCTTGTTTAATTGCAGATTTAACATTTGACTTTAAAGCTTCAGCAAACTGTAACAGAGATGCAAGTGCAACGGCTTCATTCCCACTAACCTTAGAATCCCTATGCGCACATTGGATTGCAAGTTTCACCTTCATCAACAATGATCCGAAGAATAATTAGCACGAGTTAAGCACACTTGGCAATATTTGCTGCACATTACACTTAAGTCCACAGGAAAGAAAAAAATGCATTCCTAATTGCTCAATTTTGTGATTTCGATTCGATTGGATATATTTTTGCTCAAAGAAACCAGGATGACACCAAGTAATGCATTAGAAACTGAAGCTACCAGTTCCATATCAATCCCAGTGAACTCCTTCATTGCACCGTACTTATGCATTTCCACAGCAGCGCTAGTTTCCTGTAACAGTGTGACACTTTCATCGAACGTTTGTCTCAAATTCCACAGCTTTTCCTAGGTAGAAGAAGAAACTTCAATTACTTTCACGAAATTTCAGATCACAAGGAGAGGCCTAAATACCGTTCTTATGCATTCATATATAAAACCTTGGTGGCTTCCTTGCCAAATGAAGTACCAGCAAAGGAAGCGACGGCATCGCAGACCTTGTCCCACTCTAGGACTCGGAGACTATCGTGAACAACCGAAGGTCGATCATAGAGGGAAGACGATGACTTCAGAAGGAAGGTTCGGGATTTCAGCAAGAACAACTTCCGATAAGTAATGCTGCAGTGAGAAATGCGAGTTCTGCATTTAACCGTGAGAAGAGCGCCGGCAATCGGAGGAACGCGGGAGAAATGACAACGATTTATCTCCATATCCGCTATCAGGTCGGGTGGTGGATTTTTTGTGAACCAAGTGTAATGTTCTGTTTTTTCCTTTAATGAGCCGTGTTCGTTAATGAGAATTTAGGAGTGGGAATTTTTTCCCTACTCCCGATCCCGCAGATCCCGACATCCCGACACTATATATATACATATATATAATTATAGGGGTGAGTTCTAATACAAATGAGTCTTCTAATGAAAAGTAAGAAGTGATCTCAGCCCTTGATCAATTAAAAGTGAATGGTGTAGATCAAAATTCACGTTCAGAAATACTAAACCCAAATGTGCAATACTTACTACTCCCTCCGTCCCAATTTGTTTTGCAAAGTCAACATTTTTTGATCAACCAAAAATAAAAGTCAACCCTCCTTATGGATAATTAATTCAATTTTCAATAATTAAAATTTACATATTCATAAACTACATTAAAATATCTTCAAAGTTGTAAACTCCAAATTAGAACATAATTAAAAATTGACATTCAAATTAAGTGAACAAAACGAGACAATTTGACTAAGAAAAGTCAAATTTGCATCTCTTTTTGGGACGGAGGTAGTAGTAAAAGTGCATATATGATATGCAAATGTGCACATTTACCTCATTAAAAAAGTTAAAAATCGATTTTTATACTTCTTATTTTATTTCGAAGCGTGATGCACTTTTACTGTCTGGTATTGCAGTTTTTCAATATAACGATGCACTTTTACTCTAACGGATCCAATAAAAGTTGTACATATTTACCATATTGCCACCGTATTTTTGCTTTAAAATTTGATCTGGTCCATCCATTTTATCAATTCAAAAGTCTAGATTAGTTCTTATTTTTCACCTAGGGATCACTTTGATGGAGTATATGGTCCGGGAACCCCCGGCCCACAGACTCCCACTACTCCAACAAAGGCCCAACAAGCCCAAGAAGCATTGCAGGCCCAGAATTATAACGCCCCACGCACAAATCAACCCTCAAGGCACATTGGGGTGTCCTCGGCCCCCTGATCGAGGGCTCCAAACTATCGCAGCATGGATAGTTCGAACAAACAGAGGAACTGGGAGAAAACGGCGAAAACAGTAGCCCTCGGCACCCGGAGCCCTCGGCACTCAGGGGTCCTCGGCACTAAGAGCCCTCGGCTAGTCCTCTGCAGCCGAGGGCACCTCTCCCGACATAATATCCGCGCCACATGCGTACAGATCACCGTACCCTGTACAGGCGTCCCATCCAACAGCCGCATTAAATGCGGCCACATGCGGCTGCCAACGCCAACCAGTTGAGGTGACCTCTCGGCCAATGGGCGCTTGACACGTGTCCCTGTCCGGCATTTATTGCTACTATAAATAGCACCCCATTTCCCCATTTGTAACCACGCTGAAAACGCTCCACACTTATAATATACTTTCTCTCTCTACATTCACTTGCTCTAACTTCTCTCTTATTACTCCCCGTAATAACCCCTTGGATAAGCTACCCCCGGGTACACTGTCCATCACACTTTTTATTTGAACCAATCCCTATAATTATATATGAATATATATAAAAATGAATATACATTTACAAAAAATGAATATGTATCTAAATATTAGCATATCTTTTTTAATTACTTATTCCTTACATAGATTAATCTTTTATATTACAATATCAAATTTCTAAAACTATTCGTCATTTGTCCCAAACTGAATATTATGGATCCTAACTAAATAGAGATTATTCTTGATCCCGATAGTCTAAATCACAACAATAGTACATTTTTTGCGGTTTTCATGAACTCTTTAAAAAATCATGATTGAGACTAAAATTTCTTTCTTTAGTAAATAATCATAATATGTATATATACATTATATTCATGGGTCACAAAGTTTCTCAATGAGTCTACTTAGTTTTGAATTTTAAAATAATATACGTTACACATTCTTAATTCTTTAAGTGAATTTTTATATAATTTTTGAAGTTTCACTAAGCCTTGATAGCTTATTCAAAAATTATACTATTAATTAATTGAAGTTATAAATAAAAATTATTCTAAAAGTACGTAGTACTGTGAATTTGAGATGATAATTATGACTATAAATTTTAATTATAAGTGGATGATGATAATATGTTATACTAATGACCAAAGAATAATATTGAAACCACTAAATATCAAAGTTAGTGTTTAACTAAAGAAATTACATAATTTCATGTTTGATACATCATTGTCGAGATTAAGCGGGATTCCCGATCGGGAACCCGACTTAATCGGGACGGGATACAGGAACCTCTTGTATTTTGAATCGGGATCGGGACGGGATCGAGATTTTGGCAATCGGGGTCGGGATCATCCCGATCCCACCCCTAAATGAGATTATGAGGCCACTCAACAGCGTTCAGCCATTCCAATTTGAAATGATTGTTTTATTGTCTGAGTATTTCCCCGTAAATTATTACTACCTCCGTCCCACTAAGATTGGGATGAGAGAAGGTGACACGATTATTAAGAAAAGTGGGTTTGTGTGGTTGATAAAGTAAGAATAAAGTAAGAATGGTTTAGAGCCACACAATTTTTACTAAATTTGGTATGGGA